TGGAGTCTTCTGTGAGATAATCAGCTTTTGTTAAAAAAAAAAAACCACCAAAAAAACCTCAAAACCAACCAACCAACCAAAACAACAACAACAAAAAAAACCCAAAACCCCAAAACAAGACAACAAAAAATGTCATGTACCTCATGTATCTCATTATTGTTAACCATGTGATTCCTGAATGTTTAAAAAAACAGAAGAGAAAAAGAAACCGTACTAATAGGATTAGAGTTTAGCATTATCCAGACCTGGTCCTAAATAATTCTTCCCTAACGGTAGTGACTTTCTTCTGTTTTCTTGGGAAGGATCTTGATGTCAGAATAAGTGCTATATGCAGGATGTCTCTCACTTGGGCATTAGACGTTAGAATCCCTTGGTGAAACACTAACTTCTTTCGGGATTTTGTCCCTAGGTTTTACGGTGGATATCTACATTCCCATAGCCACAGACCTTGCATGTGCAGTGAGTGGGACTCATTACCGTGTTACCACAGAGTGGGCAGGATAAATCCACTTGCTACACAGGTGCAGTTCAACTGTGTGGTGGATATGCTTTAGGTCTGACATGCAGTATATCTGCATATGTCTCTCAGCTGCTTTCTGGGTAACTGAAAAAGTATTTGGCTGCATATGAAATATGAAATAAATTATATCTGTTAGTCTTTTAATATAGAACATATAATTTAAATATATAATAATGAAAATCCTGTTTTATACAGGATATCCAGCAGCCCAGCTTGCAGCTGTTAAATTGTGGAAAGACTGGTTCAAACTGGGGGTGAAAGGGATGAAATATATGGACTTATGCCTTAAGATGACATAGGCTGTAGCCCCTCTTCTAAAAAACCACAGCTGCTAAAGGAAAGGGCCCAAGGGTGCTTCCCCAGCCCCAGGTATTTTTGGCAGATGATTGAACTTGAATGGAGATTTCCTTTAGAAGGAAGTGTACATGAGGCAGTTGCACACCGTTCTGAAAATGGCTGTCAAGAGAAACTTTCATAATGCAACAGATACTCAGTTTATATTACAAACAAAATCAGCTTTTTAATCTGCAGACAATGAGTGACCATTACGATGCAGAACAAGTAATGTAAACCAAAAGTATTCAAAGATATTGTTCAGAAGGACAAATGCATGCATGCATGCGTGTGGCCACAAAGCCTTTTAAGCTTATGGGCAAATCAGCCACCTACTGAGCATAGACACGTTCTCCAGTAGTTTCTGATAATTTACAAAATTATCAACCTTCTTAGGTCACTAATTTTAGCAGTCAGTCTACTTTTAAAAAATCGGGAACTGCCTTTTTAGACATTTATTGTTGAATTCGGTATCAGATGGCAGTCTTATTTTCTGGTCTTTAAGCAGTTACTGATACTATGGCAAATTCAGGATAAAGGGGAAAAGGTGGAAAAAGCTCTTAAAAGGAAAGGCACTGAATTACAATGTTTCATGTTCTTATTCTAGAAATTAGGGTTGTCAGTCAATGACTTGGAAATAGAGGACCAAGCTACAAGTCCTTAATGCAACTTCTTTCCCCTGTTTGTTTGTTTGTTTGAATTATTATTATTATTGGAAAATATTACATTCCTCCTTTCCTTTGGTGTATCTGTTCAAAATGCTCTTTTATAAGCTTCATCTTTTGTCCATCACCTACTGTTCCCTCTCTGTCAGTGATGATTCACCCCCTACAGCGGTACATATCAAACCCCTTGTTTCTATCATACAGACAAATCTCTTCCTTACTGATATTTGTTTAATTTTGAGGCTTTCAGTATATAGTAAGTAGTACAGTCCCTTACAACACTGTAGTGCTTGATGGGCGTGCTTTCTGGAGATTCTGCACCGCTGGCAGAGTTCTTTGCAAAGAACTCTAAATATAGTAGGTTGCACTTCTAACACTGTTGTCTTTTAGTTTCCTTTTGACTCAATTTGTGCTTTCCACCTTTCCTTTGGTTTCTCTCTCTAGCCTTTCCCCCCCCCCCCCTGTTTCACAGCCCTGTTTTCCCCTAACATCTCCAAAGCATTCAGAAGGACAAATACCAGCTAATCTAATCTCTCCGCCCTCTCTTCTGCTTTAACAAAGCTTTTAGCTTCCCCTGCTTCTCTTTGTTTTCTTTACCTCTCTTTACCTCCCCCCTCCAAAAAATTCACCACTCCTATGTAAAAGAATTGGTCTAGCTGCAGCAGGACATGCAATCATCGTGACTTAACAGAAAAGATCTTCTGAATTTTCTAGACGTGCCTGTGTGTCGTTATACCAGACTTGTACCTCCTGTTGCAAAATACATGTATGGACAAGAAAACAGAGAAAGATATTTCAAGCTTTGCCTTTCTGATTCCTGACAGAATTCTTGTGTTTATTTTAGCAGAGTAGCCTAGTGACTGAACATGAAGGATATATTCTGTCTGATAGGATTTCTAGGTTTTTGTTCTTGCTAATGACTGAAGCTTTGTAAATTTTTCTTTTGCATTTGGGCCACCAGTTCCTTGAATTAAGAGGACAGGACCTTAGGCCTTTTCTAAGGCTGCTTCTGCTTCTCTCTACTGCATGCTGATTCTCTCCGATAGGCCCAAGTGTGTCAGTTTGGCAGGGTTCCCAGTTACCATCAGCATTACTGCATTCCCAGAGTCGGGTCTTGGTTAGCACAAAGCATTGACAAATTCATTGGATTTAGTTTTTCATCCTTGCTGCACTTCAGAGGGATTAGGATTTTTTTTTTTTTTTAAATAGAATAATATTAGAGTGGTCAAACAATGAGCATAAATGTTAATGACTGCCATTTACTGCATGGATCATTTCGATGTTTATATGTTGGGGGGTGATATCTCTGAGTGGCATAGGCCTTTAGGTATGCAAATAAAAAGAAACCTGTCTTGAGTGGTTTGAACTGTTAAAGCTGATGCAAGTATGCACATGAATGTCATGCATTTCCAGTGTGTTCTTGCTGCTGTAGTGGGCTGTACGATTCCCTTTATAGCAACGGTCTCTCTAGTTTCTGCTACATTCCTAAAACAGAACAAACTGCCAGTGTAATGCATGAGCCTTCCTGCTCCCTGCCCTGAAAAACGTTGCCAAAACTAAAAAGGGAAAATGCTTCCAGCAGGGACTCCAGAATTACTTATGAGATGAGAATTTCTACTCTGGGCTGTTAATCCACTGTTGCAGCCTAAATCACAAGAACACAAAAAATATAAGCACAGTGATAGGATGGTTTGGCAGTTTTCCTGTGACAATGATATCTCAAGAAATAATCTGAATGCAGTATGGGACAATGCAGAGTAGGTTTATTAGTTTTACTGAGTTGCATAGTTATGAGTCATGTCGGCTCTTAAGCAAAGAGGTTTGCGTGGTAAAGTAGTTGTGTCATGAAAGGTACTGGTTGGAGCTAAAGGAGGGCATTAGTTTTATTTGCAATGATTGTTTCTGGGATCATTAGCACCCAAGGAAATGTAGAGCAAAGTGCATATTCTGTTTGCAATTGGCCTTGATTACGGGAGAGGTTTTTCACTAATCAGTTTTGCACAATCCTAAATCTTGCATGTTGTATTGAAACAATGTTTATTTTGCTTTGGTTATTTTAGCTCATTATTTAGTAATTATTGTTTTAATGTTAAAACTCTCCCTCTACAACTCCATTTTTCTTTAAGAAATAAAGCTTTGATAATATGCAAATGCTTCAGAATCACATTTTCTCCTATGATTTGCATTGTAATTTGCTGATGGCTATAGGACGATAATGCTGTGCTACCTAATACAGATGCAAAATTTTGAACAAAAACGTAAAGGCTTGTTGAAGCCTTTCTAAAGATTTGACCTTTAAAATCTTCATCTGGAGTTAAGACTTTCTTCCTTACTGGCATAGCGATAAATCCTCCCACTTTCACTGCATTAGGGAAGAGAACTGAATCACATTTTTGAATCAAATGCTTAGGAATTGGCCCAAGATCAAACTGGCTGCTTACATGCCATTTTCTCATTTTGTTTCATTTGCAGAATTTTAGTAAAAGATAAAAGGTAAAGCAAAAACATCTGAAAAGCTATATTAATGTTTTTTGTGAAAAAAGACAAGATGGCTTGCCACATAGAGAAATCCATGTCTCTTTAGGGTCTGTATTGTATCTTAAAAAGTACCAAGTCCTACAGGGTTAATAGACAGGAAACTGCAGCTGCAGCCGACTAATACGGAAGTCAGATTTTTGTGTAACAGGCAGCCTGAGCAGGCCGAAAGGTGGGGGCCGGGGCGGGGGGGGGGGGGGAGACAGTATCTGGTGTGATACTGATATTTTTCGTTATGCTCTGCAGCATTTTTATAAACAGGGAGGGCATGCACTAAATGGCAGCAACCCTCTGAGGTAATGCAATTTCAATTGTATAATAGTTTTTGTGGAAATGAGACATGAAGTTTTTCCTGTTTAAGTCTCGGCTTATCATAGTAGCTAAAGAAATCACACGGTCGATATATGGTTGCTACGGTAGGTGCTAACATGTTTAAGTTCTGGAATAGGAGAATTATCTCTGAATTTTCAGTTACTAATTTCAGTCCCTCCTGTGCATGTTCACTTTCGGTATGTTTTGCTCTCTTTCTGTGACCTTGCCTTCTCCATGCAACACATTGCAGAACACCAGCAAAGTGAATTTAGCTTTTGTTTATAAAGAACAGCTTTTGTGACCTGGGTGAACTCTTCCTCCTTCAGGTTTAAAATATCCAAATGCCTTCAGTAATGGCATATTGAGACACATTTGCTCAGGCGAGCAGTTTGTGACCACTTCCCTCTGCTTGAAAATCTGTGTGTTTTACACGGGGAGTGCACATTTGGGGTTTCTTTTCAAGTTTCTTTTGCTGAAACGGGCCTAGCTTAGCCTGTCTTCTCTATGCACAGGATGGCTCCTGCTTGCCAGAGCTGCACAAAGATAATCGCTCAGGAAGTGTTTCAGCCAATCCCCTGAAGCTTTACATTCAGATTTACCAAAGTAGCCAATCCGGGATTAGCTTTCATTAGGAAGACAGATCATCAAGCTGAAGTGCCAAGCCCTTTCTGCCTGAGTACTGAGAGCCTGTCCTCCATGTTTTATAAGTATTGACATAACACTGTGTTAACAATGCATCCACAGAGGTAAGCCTTACTTTTTACATTTTTTTTTCTCTAAGACCTATGAGTTGTGGGTTGAGAGTGTGATTCTCTGTGATTTGTTGTGCAAAACTCACACCACAGCACTTTATTAAGTTGGAACTGTTTAAATTTGCTTTCTTGGGTCACATGGTTAGTAGCCATTAGCCACAGCTTTATTTTGCAGACTGGCAAAACCTTGGCATACCTACTTCTTCAGAGGAGGATGGTGTTTTTAGAGTTTATCAAGATCCTGGTATTCCAAAGAAGCTTTCTCTCTCTGAGCAGTTTGCCAGCACTATTGTCTGTTGTGTCACATGCCTGCTGAAGAGAAAATGGAAGCTAGGGAGTAGATGCATTTAACTGCCCTACAGGGAGTCAAGCAGGGATAATGGCAGACAGAAGAACAGGCAAGTTTACCTTTCTAAACAGTGAATGGAGTAGCAAAGATAAGTTATCTCTGAGAAAATACGGGATTTTTAAAAACCTAGACATCAGCAAAAAGTGCTAATGGCAGATTGTAGATATTGGGCCTAGGTGGTGGTGTGCTGTTGCATCATGTTTTTTATGCAGCTTATCTTAACTTAAAATGATTATTGAACCTTTTTTCTTGCAGGAGTAATTAATACAACGTGTTTCTCTTTCTGAGGGACAATGTATGGTTAATATTTTGTTCCTTTAAAAGGGAGTTTTTATGCTGCAGATTTTGGAAATGAGTTGCTGCTCAATAAAATGCAGCAGTACATCTGTTTGCAAATCTAATTCTTTATGGAAAATGTTTTGAACTGTTAGCTTTCTTGTTTTATGTAGTTCAAATAAACTAATGTACCTTTTATCTGTGCCTTTTTGTTTTACACTGTATCAGCCACAGTTCTGTGTTGTGGAGTCCAGAGGATATAAAATCATGTGTGGTTCATGACAGTAGTACATGTTGTTCGTTCTTGTTTTTTTTCCTTTTTTTTTTTTTTTTTTTAAACTTTGGTTTAATGCTACGTAATTATTTCAAGAAATTCCTTTTTGATCAATTCCCAAATCTGCCAGCCTGTTGTATCTTCTTAACTGGAAAAATGAGATGGGTGCTTGAGCAGTTGGTAAGTAAGCAGCATGCTACTCTATGAACATTTTTAATAGTTTTCCAAACATTTTGTTTTTACTGGGTCAGTTAGTCCAGTAGATGAAGCAATGTTAGTGGTTAGTCATATAAAAAAATCAGATTTGCTTAGCGTCCATTTTAAGGGACTTGTACGTGTAAACTGTTCCAGTTTGAATGCACTATTTTTTTGATAATTTGCCTCTAAACTTTGAAGCTTATACTTCCAGTTTACCTAAGGCCAGTGAAAAATATTCTACTTGCTGTTTGTTCATAGATCATTAATTACCATGTTTGTAGCGTAAGGCGCATTTTCGTTGTTCCTTAGGCTTTTGAGGTGTGATGAAAGTGCTAGTACTCAGCAATGAAGTGACCTTATGAAGTAAAGTAAATAATGCTTAATGAGCATATGTTTCTGATACTATACAAAGTATAATCTCAGGCAAACTTGCTTGATTTATAACTAATTTAGAACATTTTGTGCTCTTTGTTAAGATTTTAATTGTAGTGCTTGCATGCTTGTTTTAACAAGCCGTTTTTCAGTGATCACCAGTATTGTTACAAAAGCAGAGGAAGGATGCTCTTTTGTGCTTTTATTATTTTTTTTGCACTTGTTTTAACAGTCCACATACATTCATGATTTTAGGAAAGAACTTGGAGCTAAGCTAGCTTTGCAAGTGCCTGCTCTGAGGCACAGTTATATGCTAACTTTTGTAGAAAGTTGCCATGTATTTGATAACATTCTATAACGTAGCAATTTACCTCTGTTTTCTTGTTTGCTAGTATGAGTATCCTTCTTTTACTTTGTCTAACAGCTCCCTCCCATCCCCCGCCAAGGATTAGATTATAAGAATGTCTAGGTCAGTTTGCAAGGAGAAGCACTGCTGGATTGTACCACTGAGTTTCATGTGATAGCATTTTTGTATGCAATTTTAATGCATTTTTCAGCATACATAAAAGTGCTAACACAGCTAAGAAGTTACTCTGGTTTCTGTTCTTCAGTCGCTAAAAGCAGAAATTACATTTGGACATACTTTTCCTAGTAGTAGTTTATATGCATTAGCAGTTTACTTTCAGTCTTAAATAGTGCACAACATAATATTTGTTTAATATGAGGAAGCAGGAGTAAGTGAACTGCAAACAGAAAGCTTGTATTAAAATGGCTCCCACAGGTTTTGTTAAACTAGGATCTGTTTCAAATCTGCACCTCCAGACACACTGCTGACAGTGAAGCATATTTGTATAAGTTACCCTTGTGCATGTAATGAAACATAGCATCGTGAGTCTGTTAAAGTTCACTATTTTTAATCACTCAAATATAATTCTTTTATAGTTCACAAAAAATAAATGTCTGCATTGCAGCAAGATGTCTGAGGCAAGGTAGAGACAGCAGTGTTGTTTTACAGATCAGCCCAATCGCGCTGCTCCATGGAGTACTTGAGCCAATAGAAGCAGAGGGTAGGTTAAAGATTGACAATTGCAGTGGCAAGACTGAGAAAGGCCTTCTGGAAATTTCTACCATCTTTGTTCCATCTAAGTAAAGCAAATTCAGCCAAGCTGAAGAATTTCATATATTTTTGGTGCTTTGTCAAGGTATGCTGTTATCACTCACTTTCATAGATTGCATAATAAGAAGCACTCTGTGCCGTTTTATCTATGGTTCAGGACAGATGGAATGTGGGGTTTTGTTTAAGTGGTAGACGCGGGGAAAAGAGCACGTATTCTTTCTATCCAAGATTTTACAGGACTGGATCTTGTTAATATCACAATTAGACAGGACATGTGTGAAGCAATGTAGCTGAGGTTTATTCAGCTTGTAGCAAATGGCCATTATTCTAATGTAACTAGCAGTTAATCGTATAATTGCACTTTAAGTTTTCTGGCTACTAAAGAGTAATTTGAATTGCCCAGGATGAATATGATTAGCCATTATTATTTAGTGCCAACATCCAGTTACTTTTATAATTAGCTGGACAAAGAATGCAGTGGGGGAAAAACAAAGGAGTGATCTGGATTATAAATTATGATGAAAACGGTAGCTTTTTAAAAGCTACATGCCTCTTTCATTCTTTACAGGCAAACTGTTTTAGTTGGAAGCTAAATAGTGCTAGGGGAAAACTGAGTGATTTCTTTAAACAAATGACACTACTTAACATACTGAGAATGAAAAAAATGCAGAGTATAAACCACTCCACATGTGATATTCCCCCCCCCCCCTGCACCCGGCCGGGGTGTTTAGAGGTGGAC